GACTTTCTTTAGTGGGAGGTTGGTCAGGACGGTGATCTGGTGCGCTTGGAAGTAGGGGCGCAACTTCTGTGACGCGCTTACTAATGCCAGGGCTGCCTTCTCTATTGGGGAGTATCTCGTTTCTGCGCTGACTAGCGTGCGTGAAGTGTAATACACGGGCTGCTCGGTATTATCAATTCTTCTGGCTATCAGAACAGCGCTCACTGCTCTTGTTGACACGGCAAGATAAAGGAATAACTTTTCATTAAGCTTGGGAGCTGTCAACACAGGGGGGGATACAAGATATGATTTCAGCTCTTGGAAGGCTGCTTCACACTCCTTGGTCCATGCGAATTTCGCGCCGTTTTTGAGTGTTTTGAAGAAGGGCGCGCACTTGTCGGCCAACCTTGGGATGAATCTCCCCAGCGCTGCTATCTTCCCATTCAGGGATTGGATTTCCAGCGCGCTCCTTGGGGCCCGCAGTTGTTGGACCGCCGTGATTTGTTTTGGGTCCACTTTGATGCCGCGCTTGGTTATCATAAACCCCAAAAACTTCCCTGCTTCCGCTCCAAAGACGCACTTGAGTGGGTTCAAGCGGAGGCTGTGTTTGCGGAGCGCCTCAAATGTCTCTCGTAGATCCTCTAGGTGCGAGTTCCCAGCCTTGGTTTTGACGATGAGGTCGTCTACATACGCTTCGATGTTCCGCCCCCTCTGGTGTGAGAACACAAAGTCAATCATTCTTTGGTATGTCGCGCCCGCGTTCTTCAGTCCGAACGGCATTCCGACGAAACAGAAGTTTCCGAAGGGAGTCATGAATGCCGTTTTTTCTTCATCCTCGCGCGACATCGAGATTTGATGGTATCCTGAGAACATGTCCAAGAAAGACAATGTCTCGTGGTCGGCGGTGGCGTCGATCAATTGGTCGATGCGCGGCAGAGGGTAGGGGTCACCTGGGCATACTTTGTTGATTGTCGTGTAGTCAACGCACATCCGCCAAGCGCCCGAAGATTTTTTCACCAGGACTACATTCGCCAACCACTTTGGGTATCTGACCGGGCGAATCAACCCTGCCGCCAAGAGTCGCGCCACCTCCTCTTCGACGGCTTTCAGTTTGTCGCCCGTAAAGCCGCGTCGCGCTTGTTGCCTCGGAATCGCGCTCGGCGGGACTGCGAGGCAATGTTGGGCTACCTGCCTTGGTACCCCTGGCATGTCTTCTGTGCACCAGGCGAATAGCTCTTTGTACTCCTTTAATAGCGCTATGAGTGGCTCAATCGCGTCGTCGCGAACGTGAGTCGAGATGCGTATTTTCCTGGTCGGCTCGGTTGGGTCGAGCGCGACCTCGAAATCGGAATCCATTGATTCTGGGCGGGGCTCCTCTGGCCTTGTGTCGACGATGTTTGTTTGCCGGGGCTCTCCCTCTAGTTTCAGGGCCCCCCATGGTGTCCCGCGCGCCTCTCCGGTTCCCATTTTGGTAGGGAACTTGAGTTTTTGGTGGCACGTGGAAGGAAGGGCCATGAATTTTGCTAGGAAGGGTCGGCCCAAGATGCCGTTGTGGGATGATTGGCAGTCGACTATTGTGAACTCGACTTGCTTTGAGACGCGCGGCTCTTGGTCACCGATGACCACAGGGAGAGTGACCACCCCAATTACTGGCACCCTCGCTCCAGAGAAACCGACCAGGTTTCCTTGGGTGCGCTTGATTAAGCGCGGGTCGATGTCCATCTTGTCGATGGTGCTTTGGAAGAGGATGTCCGCCGCGGCGCCTCCATCTATCAGTAGACGGTGAATTTTGCAGGCGGCCAATAGCGCGGTGATAATGAGCGGGTCTTCCGACGGAATGCCTTGCGGTAATTCGGTGTCGTCGAAGCTTAGTTGGCCTCCTGCTGGTACATCCGCTGCCGCGAATTCGATCGCTCGTTCGCGCTTGGTTTTCTTCTTCGGGCGATCTCCTTCCACCCTTACCACCCCTATCTCTTTCCGCACTGCATACTCTGCCGTGGTTTCGTTGTAGTCGGATTGTGGCGGTGGTGGCGGATTTTGGGGCCCCCGAACTTGCTCCTCTTTCTCGTGTGTGAACTCGGTCAGCAATCCTCGTCGTATGAGGCCCTCTATTTCGTAGCGCAGCTCTCGACAATCCTCCGTCCAGTGCCCCGTTGCTCTGTGGAAGTCGCAATGTTTTTTTGGGTCACTCATGTGGGGCAAGGACTTCAGAGGCGCGGGCCAATTGAGCTTGTACCCCTTCTCGCGCAGAACGTGGAACACGTTCTTCACGGAGTCGTTGAGCGGCGTGAACGCGTGGGGCGCGCGTCTGTCTGGCGACCTTCCCCGCTGGCCTTGCTCTTGTGGGGGAGGGGGATGGCGCTTTTGCCCGCTGTGCAGCTGCGCTAGCTGCTCTCGCGGCAGCGTGAGCTGCCGCCGTCCCTGCTCCTCCCGTGGCAATTTCGCTGGCTCGAAGCGCCTAACCGATCCCGCTCCGAGGGTTTCTTCCAGCGTGATTGCCTTCTCAATCTTCATCTCCAATTCCGTTGACAGAGTTACGGGCCTCTTTGCTAGCGCCCGCTTGAGTTCCATGTTAGTTGTGGCTTCCATAAGGTGATGGGCGGCGGTCTCAGGAGTAAGGTCGCGCACTGCCATCGCCACCCTGGACCATCTGGCGTAAAATGATCGTAGGCTCTCCCCATCCTTCTGCCTAAGGTCTACCAGCGCCTTGAGATGGAGGGGCCTTCTTTTTTGGGATGCGAACTTTGTGGTGAATAGGAGTATAAACTCCTCGAATGAGCGGATGATCCCGTTCGGTAGCCTGTTATACCAATCCAGGCAAATCCCTGAAAAGGTTGATGGGAAGGTTCGGCATAGCGCCGCGTTGGAGTTGGTCTAGAGCTGCATCCGCAGGCAGAAGGTGCTCACATGATCTTCGGGATCCGTCGTCCCGTTGTATGTTGGGAGGGCGGGTGGCATTCCGCTCATGTGTTCCGCCATGATTTCCGCGCTTAGCGGCTGGTGGAGCGCCTTCTTGGGCGCGTTGAGTCGGTATTGCGGAGACAGGTGTTGCTCTAGAAAGCTGAGATCCACCCTTCCTGGAAGCTCAGTTTGCTGCGTTTCATATATGGGGTGGGGTGGTGGGACCGTCCCCGCCGCTTCTCCGTGGGCTTGTTGGGACGCGACTGGTGTTGCGCATACTGTGAGCTCGACCTGTTGCGCTTCGTGCGCGGGGTGTGATGGCAGGACAGTCCCCGGCGCAGATGGAGTCGCGCCCGCTGTTGCCGCAGCTTCCTTGCTCATCATGAGCGCCATAACCTGGCTCATTTGTTTCTGCATGTTAGCTATGACGTCGTTCTGCTTCGTCATCAGCTGTCTCATTTCTTTGGCCGTGAGCTCGGGCTCTTCCTCTTCCAAGAGCACCGTGTTGAGATTGCTGGCTTCCGCGAATTCCCTTGGGTTGGTCATCGCCTTGATTGGGGTTGATTCGTCAGGTGAGTTGGAGCTGCGCTCTGCCATAGGTTAATTTTCTTTGGGATTTTCTTTGCTTCTCTACTTGGCCCCACGGTGGGCGCCAATTGTTTGAGCCTAACTGGGTGTAGGAGTGAGACTCGGGGAAAATGGGTCAAGGAGAGTAAACAAAGAGGAAATCATCTTCGGTTTAGAACTGAGGAGATCACAGAGAAAATTGAGAGAGAAGTTGATGATTTTAGAGATAGAGTCCGAAAAATCCCATCCCTTCATCCACCGGAGTAAATGCCATACTTATAGGCTACATGGTGGTGGGTGAGTGGTTGGGTTACAAGTGGATACAATGATGTGACCACTGACACATCAGGGATTTAGGCCATACTTTTAGGACCCTGATGTGACTACCACTGACAGAGGCAAGACTATACCTAGGACTATACCTAGGACTATGATGGTGACGGCCCGTTGGGTGACGCGGCACCGCTTCTACGGATACTCGATGAGGGACCACGGCCATGCAATGCGCCGTCATTGAGTGTTTACGCGCGTCTCCACGGGGGTGGTCTCTACCAGCGCGGCTCGGGCGCTCGACTTCGGGGTGACTCGCGCGTGAGCATCTTTGGTGCGCGCGCCTCCAAGAGGGTGGCATCTACCTGCGCGCATGATTCCGGCGCGACTCGCGCGCTGGACTCCGGGGTGACTCGCGCGTTTTTCCTTGGCGTGAGCATCCTTGATGTTTCCTCAGTGTGGTGAGATCCGAGTCACATGCCCAACATTAGCCAAAAACAAAAAAAAATTACTCGTTAGCATTTCATTGAGCAAAAACCACTTTTGATGCCAAAAATTGCTCTATACCAGTACCCTTTGAGATTATCTAAGGATCCACATTGAACAAAAGTACAGACTACAGTGCTATGTCGCTTAGAATAGTTAACCATATAAGTAACCGTACTTGAGTTAACTAGTAAGTCATTGTATCAATCAAGACGATGGTTGTTATGCCGGTGGCATGTCGGGCGGTTGAACCTGGTTCAACTGATACCGGTAATAAAATCGGCATGATCGATTTACGAATTATCAGTAAAATGACGTTGTTTTAGAAAATATTTATGAATTTATTATATGTTTTATGAATATAAAAGTTAAAAGTTTATGTATTTTGTTGGATTCAGGTATAAATGTTTAGATATTGATGTTAAATGTTGTATTTAAATATGAGTATGAGGTATTTTATTTGGAATGTCATATTTTATTAAGCCGATATAAACCGACACAAACCAATTATATCTCTGGTCGTACCATTCCACTTGTTAAACTGGTTTGAAATCCATAGTTCAATACTCACAGATGGATTCTAACTACGAACATACGCCAACCTGTAATTCTGCATCACACACCTCAATTAGCTAATGGTGGGCCTCCCCTTGTCTTGTGTAAGCCATCTGGCTATGGGAACATCAATCAAATCTTGAACAGATGAAAAACTATAGTTATCAACTCAGTTAGCTCACTGTAATAAGTAGCATAACTAATCCATAATCGATATATATAATCTCCAGCTTATCCACAACTAACCATCATCATCAATCATTTGATAGCTTTATTAAGATCACGGTATCATTTGATAGCTTATATCCAACACAAATAAACACTCACATTCGCTTTCCACAAACAATCATACACATAATACACTTACAACATTAGGAAAAAAGATAGGCAAACCCGATCAAACCGTTTACAAATTAAGTGACTGACGTTTTTGCGACATTTTCATCGAGTGTTAGCCCGTCTCATGATAACAATATCAAAGTTCAAACTTTATTATAATAAAAACATCACAAATTACAAAAAAAAATCAGGAAATTTGTAGATCTAATATATCACGACGAAATAAAAACAAAAGTGGTACCAGATAATACCAGGATGGTAACGAGTGGTATAGGTGGTATAAAAAAAATTCTCAAGATATTGAAAGTTGATATAATTTTATAAATCATAACGAACTCATTTCATCTGTGTGAAACTTTTTGAAATACAAGTTATACGAAGAAAATATAAATTGATTAAAAATATGAGAAATAAAAAAGGTCAGTAATGCTCATGTCTTAAAGCTAACCCTAATTAAACTTAAGAGTTCATATCTAATTATGAAAGGGAACTAATATGGAAGGAAGAAAAGGGGGAAAACAGCAAAACCTTCCCCAGGATCTGTGATGCACTGATGGCCGTCCGATGATCTAGTCTCACGCAGACAGGGAATCTAATCCGACGGCGGAGAAGTGATGTAGTGGGTACACGTGAGATGAGCAGAAGAAAAGGGAAAAGCCAAAAAAGAAGTTAATAAAAGGAGGAGTGGATCACTCGAGAAGTGACTTACTTACTTCCCGATTCCCCAGGCCTGCCTCTGCGGCTCTGCCTCCGCCATTGCTCTGTCTCTCTCTCTCTCTCTCTCTCCCGGCCGAGCAGCCGACCGACCGAGGAAGCGAGCGCGCGGCACACTCTGCGCCACCATCCCAACCTTCCTCCATCCATTGCCCGGTTCCATTCATTCCACCCAACAGTTTTATCACAAACCCAACAGTCAATTTCTGCGAGATATAAATGCTCTGTTTCTCTCTCTCTCTCTCTCTGCCTCTGTTTTTTCTTTTGCTTTCCCAAGCTACTTAAATAGCGCATCTACAAAGGGCAGCAAGCCAAGCATCATCGACTCTTCCTTTCCTCTTGCTCCCACGCACGCACCCCCCAAGTCTCTGCTTTCATTTCTCTTCCCTTCTCTAACTACCCCCCAGCTCGACCCCCGAGCGTCAAAGCAAACATTTTTAATTCCCCACACTGTCAGATCAAAAAGTTGGTGAATTTGGGATTTGGGAAATTTTTTGGTGGGTGGGGTTGGGATTGAGCGAGTACATGGATCCGATGAGCGAGGAGCCCTTCAACTTGGCGGAGATCTGGCAGTTCCCGCTGAATGGCAATGGGAGAGGCCAATTTGGGCAGAGTTTGGCTCACTTTGCAGACTCTGCCACGGATAATGATCCACCGCCCAATTTGGAGGACAGAGGAGGAGGAGGAGGAAGTTTCATGAGGAAGCGCCGGGATTTGGAGGAGGCCGTCTCCACCAGCAATGGCAGCGGGAATGGACTGGTATGTATATATGTATATCCCTCCACCCTATCTTCATTCTGATTGGCCATTGATTTTTAATTTTACCCAGCACACAAGAAAAGCTTCAGTCAATTGGATTGTTGACTTTGTAACGTGGGCAGTAACTGAATTATTGCTTTCCGTATTTGGGCAATGATCTGAAATTGGGTGCAGAATGACAGTGATGGGAAACGGATTAAAACAACAAGAGGAGGGAGTAGAGATGATAACTGTGATGCCAAACCTGAAGAAACAGAGCTCAGTTCAGGGAAGCCGCCGGTGGAACAAAAGGCTCAACCACCCTCCGCCGCAGAGCCACCTAAACAAGATTTCATCCACGTACGGGCCCGGCGTGGTCAAGCTACTGACAGCCACAGCCTTGCTGAAAGAGTATGTCTGTCAACCTTTCTTTTTCTTTTCGTTCAAGATTCCAACCAACTTTTACCCTGTAGTGATTCTTAGATACTGTGCGGTAATTATGGACGTGGGGGGTTGCTGCTACTGTTTCATTGACAGGCCAGGAGAGAAAAAATCAGTGAGAGGATGAAGATTCTTCAGGACATCGTCCCTGGTTGCAACAAGGTACATTTTTGTTGCAGTGCTTTCCTAACCAGAGACAGAGCTTTTAACGTCTGGCTGGATTTCATGGGTGTGTTTTTTTTTTTTTTTTTGTATCTGTTCCTGGGATGCAGGTCATTGGGAAAGCTCTCGTCCTTGATGAGATTATTAATTACATCCAATCGTTACAGCGTCAAGTTGAGGTAAAAGTCGTTGTTATGAAGAAGGATTAACAGGACAATACTTATACTTCCCCTTGTAGTTACCTTGAACTACTGTCAATGAAGCTGAGTTCTTACTCTTAAACTTGCAGTTCCTGTCAATGAAGCTGGAAGCAGTTAATTCCAGAATGACTCCAGGGATGGATGTCTACCCTTCGAAAGAGGTAAGCATCTGCTCCTTCTTTTCTGTTTGTACTGAAATTCCCTTGTACAGAATTTAGTAGGGGCTGCTTGATTCCTTTCTTCTCTGGATGCCATTTCTCTGTGATTCTATGCTATAGTACACAGCCCACCACTCTTTGCTATTGCTTCTCGAAAGAGTTGAGATATTTAGATAGGTTGCTTGTCGTCTTTAGCTGTTGAAAAGGTTATCAGCATATCGAAATCTGAAACACGAGATACTGTGATTTACCTGTTTTCTGAGCCTTGATCAGTTTCTGCTACTCTTTGATGTCAGTATGGCCAGCAAACATTTGATGCTTCCGGCATAGGTTATGGTTCACAAACCACAAGGGAATTCAGCCGGGGAGCGTCGCCTGAATGGCTGCACATGCAGATTGGTGGCGCTTTTGAGAGATCGTGATCAATTGATTGCCAACAAGAGAAGCAGCAATACGATACTTTATATCCTCCAGAGGGTTAGTTACATTATACGCAGCTAAGTTCTGGTTAAAAAGATAAGAGAGCATTATGTGTCACTACAGCTACTTCGACATCATAACATGAAAGCTGTGGAATCCCGAACAGAGATCTCTCCAGTTGTTTGATCGTTGAAGAAAAGCCCATTCTTTTACTTCATACATATATAGAATCGTTGTAAGCTGGACTTCACTTTTCTCCTGCTGTTGTAATACCTGCTAGGATGAGATCCTCCTGGTCCTATAGCTGTCTAAATTTCCTGTTGTAAAAGGAAAGTTTCTGCTAGAGATTTCCTCTCCTGGTATACATGCTCTGTACAAACCCTTTTTGTTTCATACCTATCATAGACATGGTGAACCCAAGCTTAGATCTTTAATGAACTATGATGGTTCAATGTTAAACATAAACCTTCAGTTTCGTACAAGTCTCGCATATTTCAGCAGTTGATCTAAGCATTCAAATATATAACGAAACCAGCAGCAGGAGTACTCAGATAGTCAAATGATGGAAGGAAAGTTTTGAGCAAACGTAATTTAAGACCCTTTTGCTTCCTTCCGCAGCATAACGACTCCATTGTTGATCTCATCAAAACTGTACAGCGTTGCAACTTGCTGTTGCTGATGCTTAGGTAAAAGCTAATTACATGGCTGCCCGTGAAGTACCAGAGAAGCTTCTTCCATCATCGTTCCCATTTGCTTGGAGGTAGGAAACCACTGCCCAGACAACCCGTACGAGCAGGACTCCGACAAAGATGGTGGTTCCAAGGGTGCAAAACACCTGTAACCAGATCACCCAATATCAGGAACCTCAGAATGTAGCTAATTGGAGTTGAAATTAATCAAGAGATGATTGAATAAGTGTAATCAGGAATCCCAGATTCCAAGTATGGGCCTTTAGAATCATAAGCAGACTGCAATAAGACGTCACCATATTACCTGAAGAAGTGATTTGAAGATGAAGAGTACAGACAAAGCCAGCACCCCATCAACCGCAAAAGAAACCTGGCGTCCCCCAGAGATCACAAGAAACCCAACACAAATTGAGAAGGTCAGCAACTTTGCAATCAAATCAATGCTTTATCAGAAACGGTCAATGAAACTCCACATTTCCCCTTCCACGGGTACTCAAATTTCGTCATTAGCTATACCACAAAACTGGAAATCTAGTTCAGACCCAAACCCTAGTAAAAACAAACTCGTCATCAATGCATCGAGCCCGGTATTTCAGAAGCAATTGATTATATTACCAGTTGCGGGGAGAGAACAGAGGGCAGTACAGAGCGAGAAGCCCTCTTGGCACGTTTGGATATTTTCTTCAACCAGCTCTGCATCAATCTGAGGAACAAATCGATACTGCTCTCTGTCTCGTCGTCGTCATCATCATCATAATAGCCATCCTCGTCGATTCCTCCTTCCATCATCGCCCCAATTCCGTCGAAGAAAGCTTCTCCCATCTCCATCGGCTCGGGCTTCGCCCCGTACGATCCATCCAACTAGTTTAAGTCATGAACCCCATGTCTCCGGTGTTATTAAACCCCGAGAGAGAGAGAGAGAGAGAGAGATGCAGTGCAGTGAAGGGAAAATTGGAAGACGGACGGAGTGGATTTCGTGGGAGTGCGAGATAAAAAAAAAAAATCAGGGGAAAGGTTAAGAGATGGGATACCTTGCCATGGCATACGACGATTCTAGGGATGCTGTGGGAAGTGCTGATATTGTGGCGGTGGAAGGAGACGGAGTGGCGAAGGCGGGGAGAGGGAAGGTTTAGAGGCTGGTGGAGGAGATTGACGACGGCGGCCGCGGTGGGCCGGAGAGCTAGTAATGCGTCAGGAGACGCGGCTGCAACCTGTAGCATTTTCTCGTCCGGGCTTGATGAGCAAGTGGGCAACAAGTTTGTCGACTCCCTTCTCCTTGCAACGAACTTGAGCTCGAGTCTACTGCCGGTGAAGTGAGTAAACGGAAGTACTCACTACTCAGCTTCGATTTCTTTCCTATCCAAAGTAGGGGTTAGCATCCGGTTCGGTAAAACCAATCAGAACCGGACCGAATCAAATTTGAATCAAACCAAAACTAAAATAATGTTCTCGATTCAGAATTCCAAAAAGAAATTGGCCTAATTCGGAAGTCATGGTAGTCACGAATGAACAGAGTTTCAAATTCCAAACCGACCAACATAAATTCTACTTACAATCTTCCCAGCCCTTACCCCACAACCCAACCGAAACCCAAACTTTCCCCAACTCAGTCCCCCCCACAACCCAAAATCCTACACAGCGCTCAAACTCTCCCCCAACCCTAACTACCTAAGCCTAAGTCCAACAGGCTAAGAAGAATCTCTCTCCGTCTTTGCTCTCTCATATCTGCTCCTACCGTCCACTTCACGGATGGACGCGGGATGCATCGTCAGTGTAACCTTCCCGACTCGAGCTTCATGAGACCAGAAACCCAAATCCAAACATAAAAACCAGTATGCATCAAAATCAGTACAGAAAATCAAACGAGAAACCTGTTTGAGACACGTTATCCTCGCGCGATACTCCGATTTCCTCACTTGCTAGGCGCCAATCTGCACACACGAACAAGGAGGGGGCGCCTGGGCCCGTTAATCCTCCGACGCCCAAGTTAGTTCCTGGGAAGTGAGAAGTGTCTCCAAATCCAAGTTTAGTGAGAGAGAGTCCAACCTATGTAAATGCTACCAACTGCCCCTATTTATACTCACCAGAATCGAGGTTGATCCTCTCTACTTCCCTGCCTTCATTTAATGCTTTTGTCCCTTTCTGGTCAGACATCCCAACCACCCTGTCAGACTCCTGGCACGTGACAGGCGCCCGCAGACGCTGGCCCACGTGACAGCCTGACCCCTTTTGGCTTCTAGCGACTTGTCCTTATGTCCCCTCCCTTTTGTTTGGGTCTTGCCCCCCTATTGGGCTGTTTGTGAGCCCACACTAGCGCCCATTGGGCTTTATTCATGATACCCCCAACAATTGCCCCACCAGCTAGGTGCTCACAGCTCTGCTTCTGAGCGCCTAGCTGACTCAGTTGTTGTTGTCTCGTCCTTCCTTTAGACTGCAGGCGCCCAGCTTCCTGAGTGCGTCCGTTCTTATGGTGTCCGACTTCTCTTTTGGCCCTCTGTTGTCGTGTTGTCTATTCTGACTTCAGTCTCGACTTCGGCTTGCTCGGCCTCCTTGTTTTGTCTTCTTTGCCCTCTTTCTCTTTCCCCCTTTTCATAAGGCGCCTCAATCCCTTACACGCCCTTATTCGGCTTCTTTTCGGGCGCCAGATTCAAGGCGCCTTAATCCCTTATGCCCCCCCTCATGGGCGGGCGTTTGTTATGGGCCCCCACGTTTTTCTTGTTTGAATTTTGGCAAATATTTCGAATTAAATTTAAAAAATTCTAAAAGAGGATTTTAAATCTGGCCAAAATTCCAACAAAAAGGAAAAGGTGGGGGGGGAGCTCAAAAGCCCGCCCTTGATGGTGACACGTGGCGCGTGACGCGCGTCTTGCCCCTTGCTCCTTCGTTCCTTTAAATACCCCCCTCCCCTTCAGTCCTTGTCACTTTCCACATTCTCACCTCTCTCTAGAATTTTCGCTCTGACTTCTCTCTAGATTCTCTCCTGACATCTCTCTAGATTCCTCTGCACTTCGTCAGCTTTTCCTTCTACTCGTCCGAGAATGTCTTCACAAGCAGACAATGTTGTCGGCCAGGGCGCCTCCACTGCTGGGGAAGAGGCAAGACTAGGCGCCTCGAGTGCGGGTGGCGAGACAAGGCGCCCAAGTCGAAGCGGTAAGGAATTTCTTTGATCTATTAGTTGTTTTCCTTGTCTTTATTCTAGCTCTCTAGGGCAGGGCGTCACTTACTCCGCGTCCATATTGCGCCTGGGTCGTTTATTGGTTTAGAGAGGGCGCCTGCGTCGACGTCTGCGGGTCCTTCAAGCGCCTCCACTCCAGGCTTCATGCCCGCCGATGGGTCATACAAGATTTCTGTGTGGGAGAATTCGTTTCCGCCCGATCACCTCCCGAAGGAGACGGACTCGTTGCCATTCGACGTAGCGGGCCCACAGCACACTTCCACCGTCACCTTGGCTCGTGTTCATGAGCTGGTGACCAGTCTCCAACTGCCCCGTGACTGGTGGTATGCGCCTCCTTCCCCTATTTCACGAGTGGGCGTCTGCGGGCCTAAGTGGATAGGGGTGTATCAAGAGTATTTCCGCTTCGGGCTGCGGTTCCTCCTCGATCACATAATGGAGGGTATTCTGACGACCTGCGGCTGCCCACTGGGGCGCCTGTCTCCCTCGGTGATCGTGGTGGTCATCCTATTTAAGCTGCGATGCCGCGAACATAACGTGGAGCCTACTTTCAACCTTTTCCGGTATTTTTTCAAGATGGCGCCTCTTGACAACTGTTTGTCACTTCAGAAGAGGAAGGGGCGCCCCTATCACTTTGTGGAGAAGTGCCCGAAGTTGGGGCACAGCTGGTTTAACGGGTTCTTCTTCATGAAGGCATATCGAGACTCGTTTTTCGAGAGTGGGGGTGCCTTCCTGAGAGAGTGGAAGCTGGGGAGTGTTGAAGAGTTTAATACGGACGTCGAGTTGTCCCCCGCAGAAAAGGCAGGCGCCCCGCTGATTTGCGAGACGCGCGTAAACTTGCGCAAGACTGAGAATCGCCCTCCAATTTTGGAGGCGTATTATAATGATGGTCCGTAGGCTCCCATATATTGCGTCAATGTCTTTATTGGCTCGTCCTGTTGTTAATGAATTTTGCTTTTGTGCTAACTTACTTAGCGATGTGCAGGGTCAGACTTCACGAGCATTGCGAAGCTCATGAAGAGCCGCCTTGCTGCCATGGCTGGAGGAGTGACCCCACCAAGGCCCAAGGCGCCTGTTGCGGCTGCTCCGCAACCGCAAGCGCCTACTGCTGCCCCCAAGAAGCAGAAGAAGAGGGCGGTGAAGGGGGGTACCACGAAGACCGCTAGCGTGGCGTCTTCGGCACCGGAGGAGGAGGAGGAAGCGCCCCACGTTGAGGCGCCCACTACGGAGCCCTCGGAGCAGGAGGGGAACTCCGGGGAAGAGAAACCCGAGCCCTTGATTAGACGGGGGAAGCGGGCTGGCTCCCCCTTGGGTAATGTCAGCAAGAAGGCTGACAAGGGGAAGGAGAAGATGGGCGCCGGCGCCCGAAGCGGGGGAGGGGGCACCTTCGAATACCATCTGAATGAAGAGGGGCAGTGGGTAGGCCCCGATGGGCGCCCCCCATATTCCAGCCCACACGCGCCGACGTTGGGCGCATCGAGCTGCCATGTTCCCCACTGGTGGCTGTCGACAGAGGCTGTGCCATGGGCATGGCAATTACGGCTGCCAAGATGTGGCAAGTGCCGTCGGAAGTGAATGGGGATCACCTCTTTGCTGAACTGGCGAAAGTGGGCGCCAAGGTACGTTCCCCTTTGTTTGTGTTCTTGACTTTTGAGTTTCTATAACTTTGCATAAGTACTAACTCTTTGTATCTTGTGTGTGTAGATTCTTCTTTTTGCTGAGAGAGGCGCCCGGCGCCTCTCTGAAACGAAGCGAGAGGCGCTCGAAGCCTCTTCTTCTGCCTCGCAATTGCAACGCGACCTTGATAACGCGACGGAGCGTCGCGAGCAACTTGTGAAGGAATGCGACGAGGCGCAGATGAATGCGGCCTTGCAAGTGTCGCAGCTTCAGGGCGCCCTCGACGAAGAGCGCACTAAGTCAGCCACCCTTCAGGCTGAGAAGGAGGCGCTGGCACAGGAGGCGGGCGCCCAGGCTAGTGAGATTGACATCCTTAAAGAGGAGAAGAAGAGGTGGCAGGACGCCTACAAGGACTGCAAGAAGAATCTGAAAGAGGCGCGGAAAGAGATCACCAACTTGCGCCACTCTTTGGATACCTTCGAGGAGTCCGAGACTGGGAGGAACATGAGCGCCAGTGCTATTTTGTCTGGCCTCCAGATCTTTCACAGCAAGCTGGTAAGGGATCACCCTGATCTTACTTGGGATTTTACCGAAATCGCCGAGTATGTGATTGGGGAGTTGGAGACTCCACCGGAAGCGGGGAATGCGCCCCAACCATCAAATGCGGAGGAGCCTCCACATGACTCTGTTCCTGTCTCTCCTTCTCCTAAAGCGCCTAGTGCTGGTGATGCCAACTCAGGTGCTGAGTGATGTCAAATGGGCGCCCCATTTTCCTCTGTAGCTTTTTTTTTTTGCGTATAATAAAAACGTTCCTTTTGACATTGCGACCATACTTGCTGGATTTATTTACTTATCGTGTTATCATTGTGTTTGGGCGCGAGCATTGTGGGCGCTTTGTGGTTTTGGGCGCAAATTTCCTTTACCACTGATTGCCATGTCTCGAGGGCGCAAATGTGGGCGCATAATTGTTCTGACGTTGGGCGCAGAGTTGTGGGCGCTTTGGTTTTGGCGGGCGCAAAATTGGGCGCTTTACTTACTCACTTAACAATTGAAAACACACGATCGGGCGCAAGGTTAGGGCGCTTTGTTCTACACAAAATTTATGGGCGCGAAGTTTGGGCGCTTTTACTGCTTACGAAAGGGGAATTGAAAACATGAAGTCACAATCGGGCGCTGCAACACGGGGCGCTTTTGGACACAACACGGCGCTACTTTTACGAGCGCTTTTGGACACAACACGGCGCTACTTTTACGAGCGCTTTTGGACACAACACGGCGCTACTTTTACGAGCGCTTTTGGACACAACACGGCGCTACTTTTACGAGCGCTTTTGGACACAACACGGCGCTACTTTTACGAGCGCTTTTGGACACAACACGGCGCTACTTTTACGAGCGCTTTTGGACATAACACGGCGCCTTACACAATTG